TTGATGGGATTCCAAACTCCGCTGAAGAGCATTGATTTTATACAGACGCATTTGGCCTCTCAATTTGTTGAGTTTAGCATGTTTTGAGCTGTAATGACGCTCCAGATTGGCTTTTTTCATTACTGCTAATGCATCGCCACAAACTAGGCACACAGGTTTGCATTTGACTTCAACAAAAAAATAATTATTTGTCCATTTCTCTTGGAAAGATCGACATTCTGCATTAACTTTTCTTTTCTTTGTAGTCGCCATTTATAGGATGTCACACCACTTACATTTTAATAACTATGCAGTGTGTAACACTTTCGCATGCCTGGCACTGACTATCCTCTGAGCAGATCCTGACTGAGAATGCAAAGCCAGTGTCTGTCAGTCCTATAAGTTATTGTGTAATGGTAGATACAAAACCACAAGATCACTGATACACACAAATAGGCTCACTGACACACAGACAAGCTTACTAGTACACACACTGACTTAGTACAGGCTCACTGACATACAGACAAGCTCTCTGGCACACACACATGCTCACTACTAACAAGCTCACTGACACATGCTCACTGACACATATGGTTACTACAGACAAGCTCACTGACACACATGCTCACTACAGACAAGCTCATTGACACACATATGCTCATAACAGTCTGCAACCCCCCACATCACAGTCTGCAATCCCTCTCACTTCCAAAACACAATTTGCAATTCCTTAGCCCCCAAAAACACAATCTGCAATCCCTCTCACTTCCAAAACACAATCTGCAATTCCTTAGCCCCCAAAAACACAATCTGCAATCCCCAACACAGTCTGCAATCCCCAAAACACAATCTGCAATCCCTCTCACCCCCAAAACACAATCTGCAATCCCTTAGCCCCCCAAAAACACAATCTGCAATCCCCAACACAATCTGCAATCCCTCTCACCCCCAATACACAATCTGCAATCCCCCAACACAATCTGTATTACCCTTATTCCCCACAGCACAATATGTAATTCCCCAATCCCCACAACACAATCTGCAATCCCCCAACAACCCCTATACAATCAGCAATCCCCCAATACAATCAGAAATCCCAACATAATCTGTAATCCCTCTATCCCAACAATACAATCAGCAATCCCCCAATACAATCAGAAATCCCCCAATACATTCAGCAATCCCCCAATCCCCACAACATAATCTGTAATTCCCCAACCCCCAATACAATCAGCAAACCCCTCAATTCCCCAATACAATCAGCAATCCCCCAATACAATCAGCAATCCCTCAATCCTCCAATCCAATCAGCAATCCCCAAATTCTCACAACATAATCTGTAATCCCCCAATCCAGTCAGAAATCACCCAATACATTCAGCAATCCCCCAATACATTCGGAAATCCTGCAGCACATCCACAACCACAATCTGCAACGCCTCCAGTCTACAAAACCCCTACCCAGATCCTTAAGATAGTATCAATTTAAAAAGCATTTAAAATGTGAGAACAACTCACAATATTTGATCAGATCAGATCAAATTAATCAGGCGCTCGTGCTCCCTCAAAGATGTCCGCCGCTGACAGGGAACCTCTGCACTCAGACCCACTCCAGTCAGAGTGGATCATTCCGCGCCTTCTGTTAACACTGTGAAGGCGGAGCACGTGATGCTGCGTGCCTCCACGGTCCTCCTCCACGTTATTAAATAGTGCTGCTCTCCGGCTGCCTGCAGTGCCATGGGGCGCCGGACCAAATGATTTTGCGGGCCACAAATGGCCCATGGGCCAGACGTTCCCCACCCCTGCTATAGAAGGAAGCATCAAGGATAACAACTTGTGCATTCTACAGGATCACTACTACTACTACAACATTGGAACAGTGGACTTACTACATTGATGTGTTTATACCTTATTGCAAGTGCCTCAGTATTCTATACTACATCATCTCCCTTTTTATATTTTTAAATTTTTTTCATTCTTTCTATATGCATATAATATACCCAAATTTTGGCAGGACCTAAGGTTGTTTTGATACTTTTTGGACCATTTTTTCCAATATTTTTTTTAAATGTTTTTCCCCTTTTATCTTTTTTTTACTGGATTTTCTTTCATTACATACGGATTGTGAGGGATTCATACAAGTTTGCAGTAATTTGATAGTGCTCCATTATTATTATTTTTATTTTTTGGCAGTGTATATACACTGTTAGTGTTCAAACTTTATTACTACACAATATGATCTATTTTGTTGGCAAGGGTGATTTGTTTAATTTTTTAGCACTTAAAAAATTACAATGAAATATAGAGACATTTATTGACGAAGATACAAGATGCAAGAAATGTGGCATATAGGAAATAATACCTCAGTCCCCTTGGGACTTCACACAGTTCTCCCAGCATCTCTTTCATTATTGAAAACACTTTGCAAAATCCTTTGTTGTAATCGCCATCAGCTGTCTCATCATATTTGCCTGAATCTCATCGATGGCCTGAAATGTCTTCCTTCTCAAAGGTAATTTTAGTTTTGGGAAAGGCCAGAAGTTGCAGGATGCCAAATCTCAAAAGATTCTCAATCATCTTTGAAGCATTTGTGCCACACTTTTTTTTGCAGTGCACTTAATGCATCGTCCCTGAAAGCCTTCTGAATCATCTGAATAGTTTCCGTGGAGGAATGTTCAAGCTTAACACAAAGTTTGATGCAGATTAGTTGCTCTACTCGTTCAGTCATTTTGAATGCGTCGGCCACACAGTGCATATGCTCACTCAACGGCGTCTAGTTCCTCTACTAACTAGTATAGTGAAGTTGTCATTGTTCACGCATGTGTATTCCAGTCCACTCTCCTTCGCTGCCAGGTTTTATCGATGTCTCATTATATTAACAACAGGTGGACTTTTTCCAGACAGATTTGTATACATCAAAACTGCTTCATAAGGCTCAAGGTGTTTTGGTGGCCATAGTGTCCCTTTAATGCCTCCAGGTGCTCCAGAAAGGCATGATGCCCCAGAACACACATAAACATACATAGAATATAAATCCTTTTTTTTTTTTTTTTTACTCTAGGATGAAAGTGGGATAAGTGCAAATGAGGCCCTGTATGTTAATTCGGCCTGCAAAGACCTCCGAAACAGACAAATCTGGTGTAAGTCTGGTGGTGCAGGGGAGGTGAAGTTTAAAAAAAAAATCTTTATTTATGACAGTTCACCTTCAGAATATATAGCTCGAGGTAGGACACAATACAAAATAAAGTTTAAAAAAAATTCCAAGAGAGATAGCTCCTATTTTGTTGTTGCTTTTGTTTAGGGTGTGTGTGTGTGATAATGTTCACCTGTAAAGATGATGATTGTTAAAGAGAGATTTTAAGTGCCAAGAAGTCTGGAAGCAGGCCGTACTGGCCACGATAATCCTACTGTCACCAGGCATGGTGTGAAAGTATGGAGTGTGGTACCAAACAAATAAACGTAGTACATCAAACAGAAAAATATTGATACACAATAAAACAGCATGGTAAATACAAGACTCAGTAGGAGGCGGAACAGACAATAACAAGGCACTGTTCCCATGGTATACAAACACAACAAAAGAATGGTGGATTGGCGCTTAAAACCAAAGAATAAGCAACTACCCCCAGTGCCCAAAATCACTAAATGGCACTCAGATATGAAGTGAAAGAAAATGATAAAAAGGGGGTGCAAAGGAAATATACAAAAATCCTGTATACTTAATATAATGAGTGGAACACCTCCTGATTTTCCTACAATAAAAACAAATACATAGTGTAATACTGTTATGTAAAGAACATTAATCAATCAAAGGTATTGGATCACTCACAATATGCAGAGCCACATAAAGCTGGCTCTGACTTCAGTGGCAGGTGAATAATTAGCTTATTCTGTCTTTCAGATTCCTAGACAGGATAGCTTCTTTCCAGCCCTTCAATGATTTCCGGGATATCCAATTAGTAAAGAGCAATTTAAAACTTTACTTAATAAAATACAGGAAACAGAAATAATCTTAAAATAACATGAAAAATAAAAAGTCCACAGCACTAACGCGTTTCGACCTCCAGGTCTTTGTCAAAGTGTCAATTTGACAAAGACCTGGAGGTCGAAACGCGTTAGTGCTGTGGACTTTTTATTTTAAGCTTATTTCTGTTTCCTGTATTTTATTTAGTAAAGTTTTAATTTGCCCTTTACTAGTTGGATATCCTGGAAATCATTGAAGGGCTAGAAAGAAGCTATCCTGTCTAGGAATCTGAAAGCCAGAATAATCTAATTATTCACCTGCCACTGAAGTCAGAGCCAGCTTTATGTGGCTATGCATATTGTGAGTGACCCAATACCTTTGATTGATTAATGTTCCTTACATAACAGTATTACACTATGTATGTGTTTTTATTGTAGGAAAATCAAGAGGTTTTCCACTCATTATATTAAGTATACAGGATTTTTGTATATTTCCTTTGCACCCCCCTTATTTCCTTTTCTTTCACTGTTCCCATGGTACCCAGCAACGGCTCTTGTTAGAGTACCCCCAGAATCCCTTGTTCCCTTCTCAGGACAAATGGAGTAACAGATGTTGGGTCCCACACATGGATACCAGTCTAGGCAACCTCTGTTGAGCCAATACCCTGGAGACCAAGTGCCACAAGGAACATGGAGCTATCTTATGATATCTTTGGATTGCTTTGGAACTTCAAATTCCAAAGCAATCTTAATCAATATTTCGTAAAGATAATACTGAAGAGTGACAGATCTGCTTTAACCAAATAATATATTTGTGAAAACTATATACCAAGTAAACAAAAAAATGTATTATTATTGTTAAAGGAAAACTCCAGTGCCAGGAAAACAATCCGTTTTCCTGGCACTGCAGGTCCCTGCTCCCTTCCACACCCCAATCCCCGGTTGCTGAAGCCGGTGGGCGAGACTGATCCCGCCCATCGGCCAGGGAGACCTAATGAGCATGCGCGGCAATTGCCACGCGTGCGCATTAGAGCTCCCGATAGGAAAGCATTGAAAATGCTTTTCAATGCTTTCCTATGGGGAAATGAGCAATGCTGGAGGTCCTCACACAGCGTGAGGACATCTAGCGACGCTCTAGCACAGGTTTCCTGTGCTAGGGACATGGAAGTGCCCTCTAGTGGCTGTCTAGTAGACAGCCACTAGAGGTGGAGTTAACCCTGCAAGGTAATTATGGCAGTTTATAAAAAAACTGCAATAATTACAGTTGCAGGGTTAAGAGTAGTGGGAGTTGGCACCCAGACCACTCCAATGGGCAGAAGTGGTCTGGGTGCCTGTAGTGTCCCTTTAATGCATAAAAAAAAAAAAATTGGTACTACAATGTGAAAAGTAAAATTGCTGAATGGCTTAAGATTGCATTATTCTAAAGATGGTTGGAGAATATAAGCAAGGAAGAGTGGATGCTTTAAGGAGTCTGATTTTGTAATGAAACAGAACCAGTGAAAACATGAAGATAGCTATGGCCATAGAACCAGCATCTTACTCTCTTTGCTGCAGCTCACATATAAATTGAGGCTACACTTGCACACAGGCAGCCATGCACAACAATACAGCAATATTCACTCAGTGAGGGATATATATTTTGTCATATCCAATCACTATCAAATTCAGCCATTCAACCATTCAGTCCTGTACCATCTCTCTCGTAAATACTTATCGTATTCAATCTCTGTATGAGAGTATCTAACGAGGGAATTGTCGTGCTCTTCCAGTGGAACGCCAAGTTTAACTTAGCTACCGTGAGAATGATGAGCAATACTTTGTGGTTGGGGTGGTGTATCAGCCCGGGGATGATATGCAGAAGGTAGCTGGTTGGCTTCTTTGGTATTCTATAGAGTGTGGTATCAGAGATAAATTTCCCCACCCGGTCCCAGTATTCTCCCAGGGCCGGACAATCCCAAAATGTGTGTAGCATAGTGCCTGTCTGTGTTTTGCATCTCCAGCATAGCTCCGATGCCTCCTTATAGATTCGCGATACCTTGTATGGCACCAGGTACCATCTAATGGTGATTTTACAGAAGGCTTTCCAGAGTAATAAGCTCCTTGAGGCTCGTTTAGTAATTGACATAGCTTCGTGCCAATGTGACAGAGGTATCTCATACCACAGCTCCTTCTCCCATTGGATCATAGAGGGCATTTTGTCTTTTGCAAGCCCCTGGAGAAGAGCATTGTAACATAGAGAGAGAGGTTTCAAGTGTTTGGCTGAAAGCATTGAGGGTACATTCACTACCGCTTCAGGAAGTACATCATGTGTTGTCTCTAACCTGGAAAACATTAAGTTTTTTACTCTCATGTACAAAAATAGGTCTCTCGGTGGTAGCGAGTATTGGTTTTGGAGCACTGGGAATGGTTTAATTTTATTCCCCTCTAATAGATCATTCACCTTTTGAATACCTTTTGTGACCCACGATTTAATTGTTAGGTCTGGGGAGATGCTCATCAGCACCTCAATTGGTGCAGAATGGAACAGTGTCGGGTTTAATAATGGTTGAACTCCAGGATCTCCAAGCTTGTACTAGAAATTTGGAATTGTGTAGCATTGTGTAGCACACTTGACCGAGGGCATCATGTTGGACCATAGGGAGCTAGCAATGTTGTGTGGACTTATGTATGCATTCTCTAGGGACAGCCGAAGCGGGCGGGCGGGCGGGGGTCTGTATGTGAGAGTCGCAAAATGCGTATTCCTTGAGCTAGCGCCGTGGCCCTATAATAGGCCCTGATGTCTGGTAATCCCAGCCCTCCCTTAATATAATGGTGTCCTAAATTACGGTATGCCACTCAAGGTGGCTTTCGCTTCCACACTTGTGCATTAATGGTATATTGAAATTGATTAATAAGTTTGGTAGGCAGTGATATTGGCAACGTACGAAATAGGTAAAGAATGAGAGGCAGGATCATCATTTTTAGAGAGTTTATGCGACTCAACCAAGAAACTTCTAATTCAGCCCATCTTACCAGTGAGGTTTTTATCTTGTGTAGCAATGGATAGTGGTTTTCTGTTGGAATTGTTTGGAGGGATTTAGTCAACTGAACCCCTAGATAGGACAGTTTTTTTTTTCCTCCAATCAAATCTGTATAGATTTTCTAGCTGGGTCACTGCGGCTTGAGGGAGATTTATGGGTAAAGTTTGGGTTTTGGCCGTATTGTTTCTATAGTAGGAGATTGTACCATATGTGTTCAGGATTTCTAGTAGCTTCGGAATTGAAGTTGTTGGGTCCTAAAGAAACAGGAGAATATCATCCGCGAATAACGCTAATTTTGTCATACCCCCCAGCGCAACTAAACCTGGAATTTGTGTGTTCTGGTTAATTTGGCGTAACAGTGGTTCCAAGCATAGGATAAAAACAATTGGGGACAGCGGACATCCCTGGCGCGTGTCGTTGCATATATGGAAAACTGCAGATAGGAACCCTGTGCTAAAAACTTTAGCTGTCGGTTGTTGATAAAGGGCCATGATACTAGATATGAAAGCGGGTGGGAAGTTCATTCTTTCTAGCGTTCGCTCCATGTAGCCCCAGTGCAATCGATCGGTAGAGCATACATAGATTATTAATACATGTGCAGACAGCACTACACTACAAATATGATCACATACTTAAATTATATGTACATACCTTGTGCACACATTTATACACTACCAAGGGATGTTGAATATGGAGGATAATTTAGCTACACATAAAAAAGGTCTGCATTCATCTAGGTGTCACTGACCCATAGTTCATCCCTGGCTAAAATGCATTACTGCTATATAAAACATCTTCTGACTGTAATATTTTCAGCCATAAAACTTGTGGAAATAAAAAAGCCTAATTGATTGCACTGTGCTAAGGTCATTGCACAGTAAAAAAGCTAATTAATACCAGATTAAATTTCAGCTTATACATGCAAGAGTGCTTTACACTTTCTGATGATCACTTAAGCCTTAAACCATTCATGATATGCTTACCACAGATTCAATTAACCCTTTCAATGCTGCAGTACTATGTCTTTTATCCTGCAGTACTACAGAAAGTAGCAAAATTAATCTCCAGGACCCCTTTTCCTGATTGTTGATTAGGGATGTGCATGGGCAAAATAGGGTCCCCCCCCTTCAGTTTAAAAGCCCCCACTCGCACAGCATGGGTGGGGGCTTGGGAGGGGGGACACTTGGGGGGGGGCAGGTTTTTTTTTTTTAACAGTGAGCAGCCACAGGCTGCTCACTGTTTACTAGAAATGCCTACATGCCCCGCGGTATAGCAAGTAGGGGCAGAATTTACTTATACTAAGTATTTTTACTTTTGGTAGATAGCTCCCTAATACCGTGGGAATTAGCGAGTTATCTACTATCTCATTCCCATCCATTGACTGATTAAGTAACTCACATTTTTTATGAACGTGTTACTTGATTGTTGTTGAAGTGTTGCAAATGCTTACAGCTGAAATTTGGCTATGTGTGTATACTTTTTATTTAAACTGGTATACAGTGTAACATTCTTCATTCTTCCACTGGGTATATTAGTACTTCGGCAATTCTGTGCTTCGACAATTCGGCTATTCAGCGAATCCGAAATTTGGCATTTCGGCTTTTTGGACATTCGGCTCTTTGGTTCGGTTCGGCATTCCGAAATTTGGCACTTCGGGCTATTCGGACATTTGGCAGTTCGGTTCGGCACTTCCGAAATTCAGCAATTCAGCTATTCGGACATTCGGAAGTATCCGAATGTCCGAACTGCCCAAAATTCGTCCGAATTAACATTCAGTACGAAACGAATTGCACATGTCTATTGTTGATTACATGTTAGCACACTCTCAAGAACAAAGATTGGACATTTTGCCATTCATTGCAGTCAATGGGGACGTTTTGTGAGCAAAACCTTGTGGGAGCTCCCATTTGGTATGATCAGTGGAACAATGAGAATGGCTGGATTCAAACCCAGCTAGATTTGGTGATTAAATTTGGGCTGAACTGCAATTCAGGCAAATTGGTAAGTCAGGAAACTCAAGCTGATCAATTATGAGCTGTAACATGCCAGAATCTTGGGGGAACTGAGTCACGCAAGCCTGTACATGCTTGTCTCAGTTCTTGATTCTCAGTGCTGCTCCAGGCACCAGAGAAAAACAGGAATGGAATAGAGAAAAAGCTCTATTATTTTTTAGGACCTACTCTCCTACCTCCAAGTTTTTCTGGAAGTGCATACTCATCCGAACAATGCTCTGTCTTCTCCTCCTTCTTTTTTCCCCTCTTCTCCTTCAGTATCAAAATCTCTCCTGACACCCATTACCATCAATCCCACAACTACCTCCACATTAAACCCTCTCTGCTACCTTCCATCACTATCTCTCCGCTTGCTTGTAGCAGTTGGTGATGTCTCCCCCAACCCATAGCCCTTCACTTCCTCTGCTCACACTAAGCAACCAGAAACTACACAAACTTTGTCCAAATACCCTGCCATTTACCCTCATCTACCAACATACAGTGTGCACTCTGAAATGCCTGCTTCATCTGTAGCTATATGAAATCAACAGCCATACACAATCTCTTCATCTCAAATTCTCTCACACTACTTGCACTCACTGAGACCTGGCTGCCCCCCTCTGATAGCACTACTCCTGCTTCTTTATTTTCTGGTGGGCTCCAATTCTCCCAAACTCCCCGACTCAAAGGAGGCAGTGTAGCCATCATTCTTTCCCTTTAATGTACCTTTCAAACAATCCTCCCTCTCCTGCCCTGTATTTTCCTTCCTTTGAAGTTCACACTGTCTGCCTATTTAAACCCACTCCTTTAAGAATTGCCATCCTTTATCACCCCAGTCACCTTGGGCTATTCATTGAACACTTTTCTTCCTGGCTATCCCACATCCTCTCCTCTAGCACTCATTACCTTCTACTTGGGGACTTTAATATCCCAATCAACAACGCCAACTGCTCTGATGCCTCTTGCCTGCTCTCTGTATAATCCGCCTCTGGGCTCATAAAATGGTCTAATTCCACCACTCATACAGCAGGAAACACTCTTAACCTTGTCTTCCCTAATCTCTGCAATGCCTCTAAACTCTCCAATGTTCCATTTCCTCTATTTGACCACCATCTGCTGACCTTTGACATCGGCATCCCCATACCCAAATTACACCACCCTCAGCTCATTAATCTCGCAGAAACTTCCACTGTCTTGATCTGCAGTGATTTTCCACCAACCTCCAAACTCCTTTTTTACCCATGCTAATCCTCACCTGCCCTAACTCTGCAACCTCCCTCTACAACTT